TTAACAAAATGGAATAAAAGAACACACAAAAGTTGTAAAATTGTCAAAAAATCACTTTATTGGAGTTGTTGCAATGCATTGTGACTTATAGTTTAAAAGAGACACTGATATTTTACCAGCATAGATGCAACCAATGGATTTCTTTTGGAATTTTGATTTTGAAGGCAAAAACGTTTTTTCACCTTTTTTTAACATTAAATATTTCTTAGACTTTGTTACACTTGAGGAAGACGTTTCATTCCCTCTTTCAGACCAAACTAAATGTTAATTTAGACATTCAAACTGTAAAATACAGTTGGTTTATTTGTCTTATCTTGAGATAGCGACTGTGACAACATGTCAGCTGCACCAGTTTGGACAAACCAAAGATTTTAACTTTTACAAAAAGAGCTAAAGCACTGTATGATTTCTGCTACGAAGACACGCACTATCCCAAATAACACCACACACACACCTTCTGCACATCCTAAACTTTAACTAGCATTCTTTCCATTCCTCTTCTTCTTTTTCTTTGGTGTTTGCTTCTTAGAGGAGTCGGCATTGGAAGAGGCGGTCATTGTAGCTGAGTTTTCAGAGGTTGGAGCTGACTCTGACTTGGTTGGCGCTTCTGGTCCTTGAACTGGTTCAGCCTGGACCTTCTCATCTTCCACTGGGACCACTGGTTTGACCTCACGGGCCTCAACCAAGACCTCTGCCTCTTTTGCTTCTGGTTTTGGGTCTGTTGCTGGATTGATCTTGACTTTCTCCAGCTCTGATGTTGGTACTGGTTCAGAAGGTTGCTGTTGGATCTCCTCATCTGGTTTAGCTGGTTGCACCTCTTTATCCTCAACCTGCGGTTTTGCGTCTGCTGGTATAATTTCAGAAGTGTTCTCCACGGGTGTTGGAGCTTCTGGTGGCGACACTGCTGGCTTTGGAACCTCCTCAACTTTATCTGGCTGTGGGAGAACCGATTCTGCTGCCTCTGATTTTACTTTTTCCACCTGCTCAGGGGCTGAAACTGCCTCCTCTTTGACCTGAGTTTTGGTTTTGAAGTGATCAAACGCAGAAGCCACCATGTCTTCTTTAGGGTCCACTTCATCATTGACCTCTTCCTCATTGTCGCTGGGTGTGGCAAACAGGGAGGAAGCAAACTCTTGCAGCTTAGCCTGCTGCTCCTTAAGACGGTTCATGTCCTCCGTTAGGACAGGGTCCTCCTCCAGGATCTCCTGCAGCTCCTCAGGGTTCAGCAGGGGAGATTTATCAGCATCCTCAGTGTCAGGGATGTCAACAAGGACCTTTGATGGAAGGTTCAAGTTAGCCTGGCGGACATCCTTGATCTTGTTGTAGAGGACAACCCTCTCCTCCTGCAGGGCACGACACAACCTCTCCAGCTTCTGAATCTTCAGGACGAACAGCTCATACTCTTTGTTTTTCTCATTTCTCTGGAACAGAAGGAGGAACAATGGAGATAATGAGAAGCAAAGAAAGTGTGATTTTATGTGAAAAAAACTAGAAATATAAATTAGAATTTGGTATTAGTTTGGCTTTCAGATACAGTAATGGAATTTTCTAATCCTCTCCAAAAATAGCAAACAGGAAGTACTTTCAAAAACTATAGCCTCCATTTAAAAACATCTGGTAGTTTTCCTTAAATAATACTTAATTTTTCTTTCTAAATGTGTCAATTCACAGCACAAGATTAAAGGACCAGTGTGTAGGATTTAGTGGCATCTAGCAGTGAAGCGGCAATTGCAACTAACTGAACACCGCTGGCAGCTGTATTTGACAAACCGGAAATGAGAAGTGTGTAAGAAATTACCGTGGACCTTGAAATGTAGATGTTTTATATTTTCTGCAATTTAGGATCAACAAAATTACAAAAACGCTTGAAATGATCAATTAAATTAAATTCAATTCAATTTTTGCATAGCGCCAATTCATAACAGAAGTTATCTCAGGACACTTTTCAAATAGAGCAGGTCTAGACCGAACTCCTTATAACATTTACAGAGACCCAACAGTAC